CTTTCAATTGCCATAGAGATGATTGAGAGCATTTATGGAATATAACTTCAATCCAAATATTCCTTTGCAATCCAAAGATGATGTCAATTATGCTCTTGAATCTCTGACTACTTCTATAGTTGAAGCAAGAGCTGCCTCAGTATCAAAATGTGAGGTTATATTCGATTCAATAACAATAGACGATCAACTTCAGCTCTTGATCCGTCTGAAAAATGTCCGTAGGAGACAATATCAAAGAACACGCGATCCTGCCAGGAAAGTTAATCGGCGGGATTTGCAAAAACAAATTAAAAAACGATTCTCTGTCCTGAGGTACAAAACTTTTGAAAATAATATTTCTAAATTAGACCCAAGTTCTACAGCTCAAAAGCCTATTCCATCGCTAAAATAAGGTGGCAACATATTGATCACATAAAGCAGGCCACTCTCGATGTGTGCCACGCGATCGTCTGTTTTCTCGGCAGCAACCATTGTGTGGTCCTCCTCATTGTTCTTCATCAGCAGTTCTTTCGGTCGATGCGTCGTCGACTTTGGAAAGCAACCGTTTCGTGATGAGTGTGTGAGTGCTGACCACGTTTTGCGTCCATTGCTGCAATGGACGCGCTCTGACCCTCGTTGGCGTACAACAATTTGCCATACAATGAAACTACTGGAAGCGGCTCCAGTTCTGATGGAGGAGGCTTTTTGGATAGCGGAAGATAAAGTGTTTATTATGTTGTACCTTTTGACTATAGTTTTAAGATGTATTGTATAGTGACCAAGAATCCTCGGCTCTGTAAAGTTAATTCGGTTGAGCCTTATCAAATAAATTGATGAACAAAAAAAAAAAAATATTGATCACAAATTCGGAAAAAGCTCAGAAACTTGCTAAGCAATTCGAGAGCTCCCATAATTTCAGTTTGGGTCTTACAAGTCCTATTGAGAATCAAAAAGCTAGAAATTTTCTGAATATTTTTGATGATTCTTGGAGGACTGATTTGGACGAAGTAAGATCTACAACAAAAAAAGTTTCATAATATGAAAGCTTCAGGTGCTGATGGAATTTTCTATATCCTCATCAAAAAACTCTCAGAGAGTGCCTTGTCTTTTGTGGTAAAATTATTTAACAGATGTTATGGCATACTTTCCTGATAAATGGAAAAATGAAAAAGTTGGTCCAATTTTGAAGCCGGATAAAAATCCAGCTGAAGCTTCTAGCTACCGTCCAATAAGTTTGCTTTCTTCAATAAGTAAACTTTTTGGAAAGATAATTTTAAATAGAATGATACTTCACATCAATACGAACTCAATGTTTGCAGATGAACAGTTTGGATTTCGCCATGGGCATTCAACTACTCATCAACTCTTAAGAGTTACCAATTTAATTCGTTCAAGCAAATCTGAAGGCTGCTCAACTAAAGTTGCTCTTCTAGACATAGAAAAAGAGCATTCGACAGTGTTTGACATGAAGGTTTGATTGCCAAATAAAAAAAATTCCACTTTATATTATGAAATTAGTTCAAAATTATCTAACTGACAGAACTCTGCAGGTAAATTATCAATATTCCAAATCTGATCGACTACCTGTTAGAGCAGGAGTTCCTAAGGGTAGCAGTCTTGGGTCTATATTGTATAAAATTTTCACTTCGGACCTCCCTGATTTGCTTCAGGGTTGCCACAACTCTTTGTTCGTTGATGACACATGCTTTTCCGCTAAAGGAAGACGTCTTCGTGTTATTTGCAGCAGACTGCAGAAATGTTTAGATATTTTCTCTTCTTATTTACAAAAATGGAAGATTTCTCCCAACGCTTCCAAAACTCAACTTACAACATTTCCACATAAGCCTAGAGCTTCCTTTTTGAAACCTAGTATTAGTCACATAGTCACTATGAACGGAGTTCCAATTTCTTGGTCAAGTTAAGTGAAATATCTTGGATAAGTACTTGACCAAAAATTAACATTTAAAGATCATAATGAGGGCAGTCAGGCCAAATGTAACATATACAAAATGTTTGTATCCTCTTTTAAACAGGAAATCCAAACTTTGCCTGAAGAATAAATTTCTAATATTTCATTTTTTTTTTAGACCGGCCATGCTTTACGCTGTGCCAATATGGTCTAGTTGTTGCACTACCAGGAAAAAAGCGCTTCAAAGGATTTAGAACAAAGTTCTGAAGATGATTTTGAGCTTGACTCCCTACCGAATGGTGAGACTTTAAAGCAAATTTCCAACAACATAATTAATAATTTCAGGCAAAACCATTACAATCCTCAATTGCAACGATTAATTCCCTTTATACTTACACACTTAGAAATACCTAGTCTTACAAGTGACGTTTGATTGAGCAGAATTTTGCGTCTATTATGACTCAATTCTATGTCAAAATGTACGCTCTTATATGTCAGTCTAAGAACACCTAAATTTACATTAATTTTTCTAAGTGTGTAGACAAGATTTAGTTTTTCGAAAACCTGTTTAAAATACTGAATTAACAAGGCAGGAACAATGTTAAAACACTTTGATATATATCATAACAATTGAAGCTGGTAAGTTGCTGTAGTAGCTATTGCCAATGTTTGATATTAACGTTAAGGATCTCCAATTATGTAAATTGTTAACTTCACACATGAAGTAATAAAAACATGATTAGTTAAAGTAAATAACTCTAGATAGGAGCTTACCATCAATCATACTGTCATTGGTCGAAATGTACAGTAGCTGCACCTCCCCGAGCCGTGTCTCCCTGAGATCGTTTAGTTGACGATGATGGGAGCCCAGACAGAAGCAATCGATATAACTATTTCCACACTTTAGGAGATACATGAGCAAATTGGTGATCATCCCTCATCAATGGATGAGTTTGGTAAACGGGATGCTCAACCCGATTCGTACCTTCCTCAAAGTTGTCCTTTGCTCGCTTTCTACATTCTATATACAATTTTCACACTGCCGTCTATAACAGAACTATCAACTCTATATCTAGATAGAGCTGGAATTAGGACGTAACAGCTTTTGTAAGCAATGACTTCTATCGATAATTTCTAGGAAGTTAAAGCTTGCCAACGCAAATCAACAACATCATCGAGTAGAGGAAGACTTCCCCTACCCGACGGTTATGTTGGTTTCAGTAGGCGTGCCTTGAGTTCCTAGAAATCGTCGATAGAAGTCATTGTTCATAAAAGCTGTTACGGCCTAATTCCAGCCCTATCTAGATATGTTCATCTTCTCATCTATCGTGAGAAGATGATCAGTTTAAGTCTGATATTGACGTTAAATATCAGATTTACAGTGGTCATTTTATACGATACGATGAGGAGATGAAAGTATAGAGTTCCTAGTTCCGTTAGAGTACGGCAGTGTGCACACTTAGAAATTATCGCCGACTTCGGTCATTTTTACCCAAATCTGAACAGCTGAACTGTTCGGTAAAATTCAATTACTTTTCAGTTACTTAGAAACTAAATCTCCACTAAAATGACAAGATTTGATCATTTAAACAAGGTTGAACATGTTTTGAAATTAGTTTTTAATTCAGTGGACTTTAAAATGAAGGTCAAAGTTTTACCGAACGTTCAGCTGTTAGGATTTCGGTAAAAATTTACCGAACACGAAAACAAAATCTTAGTGTGTGGAAATCGTATAAAGATAGTAGAAAGCAAGCAAAGGTCAATTTTGAGGAGGGCACGAATCGGGTTGATTATCTCTTTTACCAAACTCCCCTGTTGGGGAGCGATAATGAGGGGTATATCTCCCTGCCACCACTGGCAAAAGAGATAATCGCTGATTTGCTTACATACTTTAGATGTGCGGAAACAGCTTCACACTCAAGTCAAAATGACGTTAAGCAACTCCAACTATGTTAAGCAACTCCAACTATTCAGAGAAAGATCTGAAAACACTGAAAGAGTCATTGAATCGCAATAATATCAAAATAACAAAGTGGTATCAAAACTAAATAAAAAAGTACCTCAAAAAGATGACATGGTAAATAAAATAACTCCGGGACAAGTTGTAAAAACGCAAAAATCATCAAAACGCTTACAACGGCTTTACAATAGTCAAAATAGCACATATTTACCTATGTTTAAAATAATAAAGTTGCGCATAATAACTCTTAAAACGCCAAAACGAACATAAGATCATTGGAACGACCTGAAACCTTTATAATAGTCATGAAGACGACAACTTTCATGATAATCTTGAACTGAATGGGTTGAATGGACCAAACAATCAAAATTACCATAACTTTCCAAACTGGTCGTGAAATGTCAAAATAGCCTGAAATCACCAGTTTTGAAAACGCCAAAGCAACCTTAAACATTTGGACATGTTTAAGGTTGCTTTTAATCCATTAATCAGAAACATGATATTGACTACAGATTTTAATTGTAAATCAATATGGATTATCTTAAGGAAAGAAGCATAAATGACGTACAATATTAGGGTAACCAACCATGTAAACAAATACGCAACAACCCCGTCTTGCTAAACATTTGTTTACGTCTCATGAAGCTCCATCATTGGTCCCCCTCCCCCTTGTAGCGTATTTTTCGACATGGCTGGTCACTCTGAAATGATACGCCATTTATGCATCTCCCCTAATATAATTGTATATTCAAAAAAAAAAATAGCTTGAAATTAAAAAAAAAAACATTACCAGTTGTCTGACTGTCTGACCTGAAGGCAATCGCTATCCAAAGATTGAGAAACGCTGCCCAAGAGGAAGAACATATATTTTGTTACACCACACCTACACTCTTTTCATGACTAACCGAAGTTCAAACAATCAACCGATCCCACGATAAATCCCTCACGATATCCCTATCGTCACGTTCCCTCTCTGATGGAGTACTTGTTTGATAGGTAGGAACCACAATAAACTTCCATTCACCCGTACCTACCTACCGGTGAAACATGACCTTTCTATAGATTCGCTAATTTACCACCAATTACCCAAGGACAAATTGTCCTGCCGAATCGTTCCCGTAGACTTCCTCTACAATAGAACACAATACTTACCACACCGCCTCCGACGGAATGCAGCAGGATGGACTTGCCCTCCCGCAGCGAGATCAGGTCGAAGATGAGGATGTACGCGACCAGGTAGTTCATCACGATGGCTGCCGCGTCCTGGAATGTCATCTCGTCCGGAATGTGGTACACGTACTTGGTCGGGACGGCGACCAGTTCGGACCAGGCGCGGAATTCCGGCAGCGCAACGACACGGTCTCCGACCTATGAAGCGAAACGAAAGAGATAAAAAGAAAGCAAACTCATCAGAAAAGTGCCGCTCGTATAAATAATGGAGAAATGCTGCACGGGAAGCAGGATATTTCATGGCAATGAGGATTAGCCGAAATGACGGTAGCGTGGCGGTACCATTATTTTGACATGCTGATGACTTTCGTATAATCCGGGCGAAGGTAACGATAAGAACGAGAAGAAAGCATACAACATCTGAATAACAATCAGCCAAGGGAGTGCACGTTAATAAACTTTTTACGTGTCCCCTCCCCTCTCCCCTCACCAACTGCGGTGTGATCCTTTAATGGTATGTTCCCATCGACGACATCAGGTTCGGAAAATATTTCTCGTCCAAAATCGTGTCCAGTTGCTGGAAAACGTTGCAATTGGAGCGAGACCTGACGGAAGCTTTGCAGCCGCAGTCTAAGGAAGTGAGTGTCCACAGCAAAAAAAAAATCAAAACACCATCAGTGCAACAAGGATCCACATATTGCGAGTGGTGTGTTCGGGAGGGGCATGGAAGCTCTTTCTCCCAATAATAAAGAATCCACTGAACCGAAAATTTATAAGCTCGAGAAATGAGAAGCTACTCGGCACTGATGCCGGTTACGTGATAGTAATTCATAAGCGATGCTATTTCATCTGATGCTGTGCCCTCGCTTGTTGGCTTTTGCCAACGTTGACGAAGAAGATGATGCGAGAGGTATGCCTGTCTTCGGTTGTGGTTTCCCGAGCTAATTTAGGATATATGCGGAAATGATGAACGAAGTGGAATGTGCTTTGGCCTTAACGAGAATTAAATAAGGATAATAATAAGTCAGTTCGTTATCATGATATGCATGATCTGACAGGAGGATTTTTTGATTGCAAAAACTCCTGATATAATTGCGAATACACATGCATATCCAAAGGAAATATTTAAACTTTTAACAAAAGCGTCAAGTTGTCGGTCAAGTTGGACACCGGAAAACCCCACACGCGACATTCGACATCTGTACGCAGGGTTGCTTCCATTCACTTGCTATAAAAAATTGTTTTTTGGAATTATGGAATCATTAGATGTTATAATAATATGTTTTGCTAGTAAGTTACATGAGGGGGTTGTAAAGTATTAATTTGACTCATAAAACCTGTCAATTTCGCTTCCAGAGCGTCACAATAAGCGGTTTTATGATTCGTGAGCTCACTCGTGAGTTCACTCACAGTGAGCGCTCACGAATCGTAAAATCAGCTATTGTAACTCTCTGAAAATAATATTGATAGGTTTTATGAGTTAAACACATACTTTATAACCTCTTCTTGTAACTTACAAGAACTTATTATCATTTTAACGTCTAATGATTTCATAATTCTGAAAAACATTTTTTATAGCAAGTAAGTGGAAGAAACCCTGTCTGCACGTTTAACATAACGTCGCAATATTGTGCAAATATAGCGCACTATGTCTGACACTTTGTTTAACGTACAGAACAAGAGTAACTCGATTGTCGCGTGTGGGATTTCCGGTTTTCAACTGTACCGATAATACTTGGTTGCAAGCATGGTAATACTAATTCACACGCTCGATCCCCAACAAAACTAATGTCGTTTTCGTTTTTGCGGTGTCGTACACCAAAAGTGTGAGCACAAACAAGTGCGATTCGCTGACAGCTAAACATCATTTGTTTGTAAACAAAGGTGCAACCGATATCTACACCCTGAATTATTTCGGTGTACGGTGGTGAAGCACCGGTGTACTTCCTATAATCCCATCTCAGTCCCATATGGAAAAAGTAGGCATTGAGAAAATGGCAGTTGAAGCTAAGAAGTGCAATTTCGATGTACATAAATATTTAAAAATCAAAGTAAGTTAATAGATACTTTTGTCAAGTTAAAACCAATTACAACGAAGCCTAAATGATTTGTTTTATCATCGAAAAATATGGCGATTAAAAAAAAACAGCACTTTAACTTGACTTCTGGACGATTGAATTTCAGAATGATACTGATATATGATTACTTTGCTTGATTGGACAAACTGACTTGATGTCAAGGGGTTTTCAACTCCCTTAATCTGTGCCGCAGGATTTAACTGTGCCGATAGCTGTACCAAGCGCTGTGCCGAACGTGTCGGAGTAGGTGGAAGTGTACCAATCAAGGTATCAATATCCTATGAGTTTGACAACCCTGAAGTTATAATGACTTTTGTGATTGTGTTTACATTTTCAATTTGAACGTTAGCGGAGCGGGCAGTGGAAGAGGATATGGAAACCATCTAGCTAATACGGTATTCAAACAATTTCAAAGGACTGATATGCGATTATAGGCAGTGTAGCTATAGTTTTAAATTATTGGGAATCAAATATGATAGCGATTGAAATTAAAACATTAGTGAATGGTAAAGAACGAGAATCAAGTGAGTAAGCCATGTATCGAAAACCTATGTATTGCTTGATTAAGGACTCATTAATTGGTCGAGTTAAATTTTGCATTGTTTCTAAATGCAGATTTAATGTTCATTTTCGTACATAGCAGGTGTATTTCAAGAATGTCATTATTGAAAATAACCAGAGAAAACGGAAAGACAAATTTACTGATAACGGGTGCACGGAGTCTCTGGAAGGATATCGTTTTTATAAAAAAAATCAATGTCGTTGAAACATCCACCAAACGAAAACTTATGCTCGCTAATTTCGTATGATGCTAGTATCGAAAGGTTCTATCGGGGAGTCTGGAACAATTTGTTTTTTTGGTATTCTTAGTGTAAATCATGTCCAAAAAATAATGTTCAAACCCTTTTGAGCCCAAAACATGAATGGAAAACTGACCCCCGATAGAAGATTTTGAAACTAGATTTCATTTGGTATGTGCTTCAGCGATACAAATTTTTTGATGTTGTTGTTTTTCTACTAGAGACACTGTGGGTTTATTACTGAATAAGAAAAACGGGATTCGTGGTAGTTCCTTTTCATAGCCTCCATGATTATCCCTCAGCAGATTGGCCCACTATAACACTCATCGATCGAAGGGATGGTCACTTTACACATTTATTTTGCGCCAACTTTTTTTCTCAGAGTGCCTAACGTGTGCTGCGGCTGTGCCAAGAGTGCTGTCATTGGACTGACTTTGTTTGCATTTGAATAATGGAATGTTTGGCAACACGGTTAATTTGACAGTTTTAAAGTTTTGTTTTAAAGGAATAGTAGTGGAATCCGAACCAAGGTGACAGAAGCATCCCAGCTGGACAAGCTGATAGCGGACCGGCTCGACCGGATGATCCTAGCGAGAAGGCGATCGGATTTCTCCAACCGCTGCAGCTGCTTAGCAAAGACTACATCGAAATGCAGTCTACAGTCGCTGTGACAAGCTGCTGCTATTGCTGAAATCGCTGGTTCTCTTCCGGGGATCAACGATGGCTACCTGTAGAGAATCGCAACAACATGAATGCATGGTTTGAGATGGCCAAGGAAATGTACCAACTGGATGTGAAGAAACTTAATGAAGCGGCTATATTGCTTAATCGGCGGATTTGAAGACGGTGACACTGCATAATGCGACGAAAGAGTTCCGTTACTAAAGGTTGGCTTTCTCAGTGGTGTCACTGAGGATCAGGTAGATGCATTAAAAAAATGTGACCTAGACTGGGCCCAGAATCCTTCAGCCATATTAAAATAAAAGCCAATTAAACCTACACACTTAGAAATAACTAATTTAAACGTGACGGAATCCGTCTTGACATAAAAGATAAGACGTAAACGAACATGTCATGTAATATTAAGTGCTCCGAGACTGAAAAGTTCGAAAGTACGTTTGATTGAGCTAAATTTCGCATCTATAATGAATACCTAAGAATACCTAAGTAGTGAAGGGCCGTTTCTCTTCCTTTCTCCTACACAAAGCTGCAGCCGCAAATTTGGATTTTTTTTTCTTCTGGTGCTTCTAGGAAAGTGGGATGTAATTGTGCATACGATGTTGATAATTAGTGATTGTTCTGATCTGGTTTGCACGGATTAAACTATTTATTCGGACAGGTATTAGGATGTGTGTTGTTGAGGAATTTGGAAATGGAAATGACCTATCCTATATATGCCATAGCTCCATATGTGTCTATTCTGAACATGCCAAGACTGTAGATGTATTAGCTTGATCAAACTTGAACAAGCCATTCTCCCGAGGTTCAGTAGCAAAGATTTTCGCACCAAAGTTTACCACTTTGCACAAGTGATCTTCGATAAGGATACTTCGTTAACGTTTTCGACTAGGCATCTGACTTACGGACAGACAATTTTTTGATAGCTCGGAATCAATTGAACGTTTCACTCGTCTTTTTCTGGTTCTTCTGGGCAACACTGGGACGTCTGCTTCATATCACCGACTTATTTATTTGGAAATTATCAACAGACCACACGGGGCCACAGGGATAAAAATAATTTAGCCTAAATTACACAAATCGCCTGAAAGCATTCACAAACTTATTCTTTAACGTTTCACGGGAAAAACAGAATTCAAAAATACAGGCTACCCTATTAAAAACTCGCAGAAGGTCACGAATTACACAGTTTACACTACTATATAGTATATATAGTTGGTACGACGAAAAGGCAATCTTATTAATGAGTTATTTCTCAAACTACGCGCTCTTGCCTGAAGAGGTAGATGAGCTAGTAGAGTGGGACACTCAATACGAACACAGAGCACATTCTGACGCTGAGAGTGTTCAGAACTATCAGCTGACACCGATTTTCATAAGGTGGCAGCTCAAAGCGATTGCGCCATGGAAGGTGTCGCAGGGCCCAGCGAAGAAACCTTTCTATCCTGTCGGATCTATTTTGGTAGAAAGGATTCCCAACTGCTGATCCATATACTAGTACCACAGTGCATAGTGATTTTAAACAGTACACGTCTTTGGAATCTTTGTCTACGCGGAAAATCAGTCCTAGGTTTCTTGAAGCTTTATCCGTTATATAAGAAACGGGTCTACTGAACGTCATTTTGGAATCCAAGATCACCCCAAGATCTTTCACCAGGCTATCTCTACTAATACGAACACCCGACAAAGAATAAAGACTGGAACGCGCAAAAAATGTTCTACAAAAAATCGTTCCATTCAGTCAAAATTCATAACACAAAAATCTTCTTATTTTTCTTTTGGTAGTTCAATTCATATATTTAAAGGAAAAAATATAAAAATATTCGTTTATTCTTTTGGTTTGCCAAATCCCAACTGCCGTGTCTTCCGCTTAACCCCTTCCATTAAATTTTGAACAGTGGTCTCATCGACCTTATTCGCCGCCGAACGCCAGTTAGATTTAAACGGCTGCTCGTTTTCCATTGATTTATTAGTTTTTTTTTTTTAGATTCCGTTTGACCAAGGCCGTTCGATATGGCGGAGTTCTAGGCTGTTGGGAGAGTTGTGGTCTTTGGGCACCACAACCACGTTGTTAGCATCGTACCACTCGATTGCCTTTTTCCCATAGTTGTAGCTCGCCAAGTCCGGCCAGAACAGCACAGGTCTATTATGTTGCTTTAGGAATGGTAGCAGCCGCTTTTCCAGGCACTCCTGGACTTAGATCTCTTGATTGATGGTTCCCGTAGTAATGAAAATGCCGCTTTTTAGACCACACGTGCATATAGCCTGCCAGGAACTTCGATAGTTTGATGGTTTTTTAAAATTTCAGCCACCTTCCCTTTTCCTGATGCGGTAATCTTGTTTGTAATCTCGGTTCACAACCTTCACCTTCTTAAACGTCGACAACGCGGCTCTTTTCTTGGCCCACTGGACAGTAGTATGGGAGACATTGAGCTTGTCAGCGACGTCCCGGATGGAGAGGTTAGGATTCCGCATATATTTCACCGCCACCTTCTTCGTCGTCGCTGCCACGTCCGGATTACGATTGCCGCCGCTTCCAGGATTCCTGGTGGTCGACAGACGCTCCCCGAACACTTTTAAAACGTTTGTCACGGGCGATTTGGCCACATCCAGAAATTTTGCCAACTTGGCGTGTGAGAACGTCGGATTCTCTTGCTGCGCGAGCAAAATTTTGACACTCTGCTCCTCTTGCTTGGACGTCATTTTGAAAACTCGAGAGCAAACGATGAAAACTCATCATAGCAACCATTGTATATACACTCAACTTCCAAATGCAGCATTTCAGGTTTTTTTTATGCATTTTTAACAGAAATACACCCATTTTTTTTTTATATATCTTTATTAAGGAGACTTTCAGCCCTGGGCTGGTTCGTCTCCGGAATACAACAATTTGAAGTTAACCAATTTTTGCGCGTTCCAGACTTTAGTCGTAGATATGCGGACTCCGGCTTCTTGTGAATGAAATTACCGCGCACTTTTTCGGGTTTACCACCATCCTGTTCAAGTCGTATCAGTCCGCGAATATAGCAGCCTTCGTAAGAAATTCGGATCGTGTGGTTTAGCTACAATAGGAAAATTAACGGGCCCAGATGGCTGTCTTGAGGAACTCCAGAAGAGGCAGAGAAGGCGATAGAGAGGCAGCCTCTAGTTGTTGTAATCTTGTTGTAGTCGGCCTTGTTGAAATCATACCTCACCGTTTCTGCGTTATCGTTGCAAACTGAAAGCTTCTTGTTTTTAAGGATTACCTGCAGGGGTGGGTGATGTGGCACGTGTTTCACGAGTAGAGCTGGACTCACTGAGATGTCTGGAGCGACGTCTTGATGGTTTACAAAACATAAGTCCAACGTTCGCCCATATTCGTTGAAACAGTAGTTAATTTGGTGAAGGTTTGCTTAGCTGTAGCTATCTAGCAAGGCATTGGTGCACGATGGGAACGAAAACCTGTCCGTGTCTGCTAACAAGAAGGGATTATTTGAAGATTGCCAAATAATTCCGGGAAGATTGAAGTCACCGTGGATAACAAACTCGTCACATGAAATTGATATAACAGATCGGATGAGAGCGTTGTAGAGCAAATCATCACGATTACGATCTGGATGGATGTATACATTGCTTGAACCTGGATTACATCTCTGTTTGCTTTCGAAGCAAAACAGATTCAATTGATGTAGCTCACTTTATCTATCACTTCCACTCACCTTAAACCACATTTGGATGTTTGACGCTTTTTAGATTTGATTTTAAAATAAAAATACCAACGGTAGCAAAAGAACTGGATGAAGTCTCTAGTTGACACCTCTCAAAATCTAATTGTCTACGTAATTCATGGACACCCCTACGTATAATATTAAATATTGTGTGTTGTTGATATCAAGAAAAGAAGAGTAAACTGTATAACATTGAAATTTGTTCTACGTAATGAACAAAAGTTGCAGTTTTAGTGATGCTTCTATTTTTTTAATACTTGGTCAACATTAGGTTTTTAAAAGTTTGAGATTATGAACAAAAGATAATTGTATTAAAATTAATGTCTCAGAATTCACGCCAAAAATGCAAGAAAATTGTGACACGCACATTTCTTACGATTTAAAGGTAACAAACAACATTGCAAATATTACGCATACATTGTTAGGTAAACATTGCGATTAAATACAATCTCTAAAGTATTGCTGACTTAATTCACTCTTTAAAACTATCCAAACCACCATAGTTCCGCATAAGCATCGAGATAGTAGATCTTATTCATCGCCATGCCAAAAGAAGACACCGATAGCAAATAGAAAAATGTAACAATTTCCCATTGCACATTCCGATCACCGATTCCACAATCGATTACCTAACCCTGTTATATCTGTTCTGGAAGCATTCCAATACCAAGAATAAAACTACAAACAAATCTCCACCTCTTCCGCTGTCTGCACACAGGAAAATGTCAACTGCAAGCGCCTCGGAGAGCTCGGCTGTTCCATTTCTTCTCTGTTCCTTTTTCCAGACCGCAATTTTCTTCCTGAGCAGTTCCACGCCAACTGACGAATCGATTTTACATTTCCCTCTTTGAATTCCACGAAACTTCGCATCACTGTTCACTAGGGGCAATGAACGAACATTTGTGCTGGAACTCGACCATTTTGACCAACGACTATGTTTCAAAATGGCTTATTCGATATTTTTTTAGTAAATCATAGGATGAAAACGGCTCAATCAAAATTAAGTCTGAAACTAACTTGCTGTAAACTGAAGTGTCTGTTCAGAAATAAAAATACACACTGAAAAAAAAAGTATTAAAAACTTTAATAACAAAAAAAACATAATTTTAAGAACTGTATTGGTTTTCAGAGAACAGTTTAAATACACACTGAAAAAGAAAATCAAAACTTTAATAACCAAACAAATCAAATTGCAATAACATAAAAAAGTTCATTATAAAGATTTATAAATTTATGTTTATGGATACAACGAACACTTCAAAATGAACCAAAATCGTTCAACATGAACTTTTTTAAGCCAATATTTATGTGATTTGTGCATAAGAAACAATTTTCTGGACTAAAAAACTGTTTTCAGCAGCAGCAATAAAAATTATTTGAGGAAAAAAAGTTCAATTGTTTTTACAAAAACTTTATGTTCTACGATTTTGAACAACTTTTAAGTGTTCGTTGTGTCTATTTCAGAAAAGTTAGCATTTTTGATAATTGAATGCTTATCTTAACTTAAACATAAGTTTATAAATCATAAAAATGTACGTATTTTTTGGTATTGACATTTTAACAAGTTTTTTTTTTATCAGTGAGTGGTTTTTTTTCCTGAAAAGCAATCCAGTTCGTCCAATTTTATCTCAAGCGTCATTCGATTAGATGAGCCGTTTTCGTGCTTTAATTAATTGAAAAATATAGAAAACGCCATTTTGAAAAATTGGGCGCGGGTCATTATTACCGAATTTAGGTTCAAACTTGATTCATTGCTCCAGCGAACAAATAGGGTAAACGCTCCTATAGTTATGTTAGAAGCTCTAGGTTCCTATAGTTGCTTATGGAGACTCCATAAGCAACTATAGGAACCTAACGCTTCTAACGTACCGCAACTATAGGATCAGTGTTGGCAAAATCATCAATGAAATGATATATTTTCGCTCTCATACGCTCTCAATATCACGCGTAATGTTGGAACAAAATATCATGCTTGATATTGATTTTGAAAGTTCCTTTGATATTGCGAGACTATTCACAACGTGCAAAAATCAAGCTGAGAGTTGACTCAACTCAAAAATGATTCCGTTGCACATCGTTTTCTTCGAAAGAGAAAGTATAGTTTGCCATCTCTTTTTACTCTTCACTGATGGCAGACACGAGGTGACTGTTGCTAGCCGTTATGGAAGTTTCGGTTGCGTTCGGGTATAAAGCGAAAATCATGAAACTCAATCTCATCTCAGCTTGTTGCGATTTGCAGCTGGTGAGTTTTGTTAGCTTGATATTCCGAGCTGCGATATCACAGCTTGATTTTGGGCATTGGAGAGATTGGATTTTTTGATATTTTCCCAACACTGTATAGGAGCGTTTACCCTATGGAAGTTTCATGGAATTCTGCGAGGTAAAATCTGAAATTTCTTTATTGTTTTGCTATTTTGCCTGGAAGTGCTCTCCAACACTCGCACAGGGTGTTGAAACTCAGCAAATAAGATTGCAGATTAAAAACTTTTCCCATTACATTTTCCTCGAAACGTCGGAACGCACCCGTCGAAATTTCTCGTTCGCCATCATCGTCATTCGATCGGTGGTGTCCTTGTGCCGCGTTTGAAAAGCTCTCGCTTTTCCAAAGTACAAACTTGGCGGAAAATTTGTCTTCCGCCTTATAAGCTGTATATGTATGTGTGTGTATGAGAACACTTACCTTGAATCCTTCGACTTCTTCTCCGACGGCTTCAATTTCACCGGCACACTCGAAGCCCAGGATGGTTGGTGTCTTCGGCGGCGAATCGATGGCTCCCAGACGTACCATCAAGTCCTGGAAGTTGAGGCCACTGCAGACGAGATAAGAGGTAAAATATGAACCGTCGTTAGTAAATATAATTTGCAGATTGTACGATCAATAACTGTTTGCATTGCAGAGAGAAGAAGACATATTTAAACTGTGTTGTTTTACTCGTGCGGCTTTAAAACGGTCGATGGAAATTATTGACTCGGAACCCGGAGGGCACCGGCGAAAAACTCGTGTGACAGTGAGCATCTGGTAAATGTTTCCCAATTTATATTCCACACATAATTAAAGAAATTTCTTCACTTTGGAGAACTCGAGTGTCGGAGATGTGTTTGAAGCATCTAGCTCACGAGTTTGACTATCTAGTTCTAGATAGACATCCATTCAAACAGCCAGCCAGCCATCCAGCCAGACAGACGTAGACAGATAGAGCGACGGAACGTGATGGCACTGCTAGATGCAAGAGGAAAACTTGCCAGGGAAAAAACTTTTCAAACAAGGCACATGCACTTGACAACGAAAGTATAGCTGAACGGTTCGTTTTCCGTTCGGTGGGAAAATCATGTGGAATTCGCAGCTGGTGACAAATGGAAAGGTTGCCATACTAGCTGGCAAACGAGAGATTTGGAAAACTGGATACCGTTGGTAACTCTTCCAAATGCACTTGCTGAAATGGAAATGACGAAAGGAACAAGATTCGGTGTTGGGACATATTCTTTGAAAGTTTATGTTCTCCCCGAGCATCTCTAACTAGTCGTCTGACATGTCTGATGCGAGATGTATGGTTTCAAGTTCTTCCCCCTTTCAGAAAGCGCCATGCACGTATATTTATGAATTTACACTAGAACAGAGCTAGGAAATGAGCACGCAAAGAAAGACCCCGTCACATTCAAGAGCATGCTACACGGTAGTGTAGCACACCCTCGCTCTGGACGTGATGTGTATATGATTTATGCTATCAACTCGAAGTAATCTAAACTGTTTTCAAATTAGTTGAGTTTTATGGGTTTAATGGTGATTTGATGAATTGATGAATGTGATGTGTGTGTGTTTTCATCGGCTTCAGCCTGAGAATAGATTCAGGGGTCAAGGGAAGAACATTTAGAATGATTTGTACCATGTTAGATCATTATTTGAAACTGAAACAGCCCAAACAAACAAATTTTACTCTTGTCTTGAAGACTTTCAAGAAATACCTTACAGTGTATTTATCTTGTTTGGTCGTATTATTTCTTTCGGGGCTGTGTATAAACTACAAGAGATTCAAGAAATAAAACTATATTAGTGGCGAGTGCGAAACTCCTTAAATGATGAAGCACTGTTTTGACGAGATAAAACTGAAGAAGAAATTACTCGTTGGTAAAACATTAAATTTGACGAACGAATTCTATCCCACATGCTTAATAAAAGCATACCGCCTTTAAATTTGTTGGATTGTTTAGTTAAATTCCAATTCTACTATTGAGAGGCGATTGGTGCTACTTATACACTTCCTATTGTACGAATTTGTCCACCTATGTACTGCTTTAGCATATCTTTTTCACTTACATCTACAGTAATAGCGTAATGATGTGACCCAGATAATAATCTTTAATTTGGAATTAAGCGGCTCCAAGGATAGAGCTTCGTTAATTTTCTACGGACTCACTGCTGATTGCCATATTCTGGTGATGACGTTTTCTCATTTACCACCAACCGTGATGCTCTTTTTTTCATTCTCCCTTCCCCCTGACGTCAAGCACACGCTAATGATACCCTATGATACCCATTGATGGCATCCGTGACGTTCGATTTATTTGTATGACCAAAAACGTGTAGCAGAATTTCTACTCATTTCACTGAATGACATTCCATGAGTTTTCCAGATTTATCCAAATTTATCGAAAATTACACATAGGGGAAATGGTTCTAATTTTGGCCTATGGATCTAAGATTGGGCCCATTGCTAAAACCTGCTATTTATCAATTATATCTATTGAACGTGTCATTGGGACGGTACTAATGGATATTTTTGGTCGCTATTGAAAATTTAGTCGATTGCTGAATTTATGTATGGGCCCACATTAGGGGCATTTAGGCCGACATTACATCCAGTTCCCCTATGTCTTTGTTTTATAATGCTATAATTTGATATATTTTTTCAAAGGATAGGTGTACCAATTGGGGCAACTGCATACTATCAACCGGTGGAAGCTAATGATTAAAACTTGGCTCACTACTTGACTAGCCTATTGGTCCCAAGTAAATCTATAAGCGTACCTCATTCAAGTCGAAATTCTAGTACTACACTATGTTTGTTTTGATTCGCTATGAAAGTTTGACAGATAAAAATTAGATTTTCCTATGTTTCGAGGGGTGCATCGATTAGCTTGGGACCGAAGATAGTACCAGAGCTGAGCCAAAAAGTTGAGCACGTTTCTTCGGGACCTTCAGGTCTTAGAGTTACCTCTATGATACTATCATAGAGGTAACTCTAAGACCACTGGGTCCCGGAGAAAATCATTATTATTTTTGGCTCACTCAGTACCAGAACAACGGTCCCAAGCAGTCCCAAGCTATTTCACTCACCCCTGCATGTTCTGCATGAATCCACACACCCCTGATGTTATCTGTCAAACTTTCATAGCGAATCAAAACAAACATAGTGTAGTAATAGAATTTCGACTAGAATAGGGTACGTTAATCGTTTGCTTGGGACCAATAGGCTACTAAAGTGGTGAGCCAATTTGAAATCGTTAGTTTCGTATTGATTGTTGATACTATCCTGTATGCGCAATGGTACCAGTTTAGGCAGTCTTCTATTTAAATTCCATGGTCCATAACTGGTAGATTTTTCAAGTAAGTTCTGTATCCACATTAATCCGGACACCTTCTAATCATTGTAACTTTTGAAAGATTGCACGTAGGAGTGACAAATATCGCTGAGGTATAGCTGGGAGTCATTGATGAAAAAGACTATGATTGGTGTTTACATTCCATGTTTAGTGTTCAAGATGGCGATGAATGAAAAACTCCAATGCAAATCCTGACTTGTCAATACGGGAACTTGCAAAAAATCCACTGTTGACGGTGTGCTCAAATCATTTTCGGAATGTTTGACGGTCGAGAGGAAACCGAGAAGTGATCAAAACATTGAACGTGCTGATCCTGTCATGGACCGAAAGGAAAACTGGAAAACTGTAAAATAGGAATGTCATCTGGTTTTGTCCAAAAATCAAAACAGCGCGTTTGGGGCTGAAGTTGTGCTAAAGTAAAAACAGTTCCAAATGACAACGACAAACAGAATTTGCCAGCAAAATCAAGGGGCCGACGTGTGTACTGCGAATATGCGACGAAGTTTTCATGCGTTGTTATGGACGATGGAACTTATATCCTGGAGGATTTCAAGCAGCTTCCAGGGCTGATTTTCTATTCTGCTATGGGCAAAAATGCTACAGCTGAGTATTTCAGGTCGAATAAGGCATCGAATTTTTTTCAAAATGCACACGAGTGGCCCAGAGAGTCGAAATTGGTAAGCAATGTACACGTGTGGCCGAAAGAGTAAATCTTTCGTCACTACAGGCACAATCAACAAGGAGATTTGAAAAAAAGAGTGCCTGAAAAAGCGATTGTTACCCTTCATCAAAAGCCACAAAGAAAACCCTTTGTTCTGGTCCGATTTGGCATCATGCCATGATGCATAAACTGTGATAGAGTGGTACGAAGCAAATCAAGTGAATATTGTACCAAACACCGCAAATCAACCAAATTGTCCAGAGTTACGTCCAATCGAGAGATATTGGGCTCTGATGAAGCGAAAGCTTGCTGGAAAGAAACAAGGAATCAAAGATATCAAACATTTCCAACAAATTTGGACAAATACAGCCACCACGGTATCTGAGGAGCCTGTACGAACCCTAATGGATGGACTAAAGCGCAAAGTTCGAAAATTTTATGCAAATACCGAATAACTATGTTTTGACTGGCTAGTATAGGGTGCCCCAGAACGTATAAGCACATTTTCAACTCGCCGCCATTTCTACTCCGATGACTTTTATCAGCTGTTCATCGATGTCTGTTGTTGTTTACTTATTGCTCAACAAGTTTGTGTGCGCAAAGTGCATTTCATTTTCATAATCATCACAATGCAAGGCATTTCCCCGGAAAAGCACAAACCGATCGTGCACAAATGGTGCACTATTCCCAATCTGTCAGTAAGGAAGTTGTAGAAAATGGAGGAAGTAAGTATCGGATCAGACCAAACCGCCATCTGGAAGTTCGATGAAGAAGTTACCTTCAAGGACCTACCGAAATCTGGCCGTAAACCGAGACCGGTGAACCAAAAACTGAACCGGAAGATCACCCAAGCTTTCGTCAATAAGAAAATTGCCTAAATTCGAGATTTGGCCCAAAAACTGAGGACATCGAAGAATAAAGTCCAACGTGCCAAGGCAACAAACGTACTGCAAACGTTCAAGAAGCAGAAGAAACCAAATTGGAGTCAGGAACAAGCCACATCCGTCAAACTGAGAGGTCGGAAGCTATATGTTAGCCTGCTGTGTGGAAATTGGCATGTTTTATCATGGACGATGAAACATACGTCAAATTTGACTATCAGACGATCCCGGGAGACCCGGCCCGGCCCGGCCAATCGAAACATGAAGTGCCCTTTCCAAGGTATATCTACGGAAACACTTTAAGGCAGCAAATTCAATCGAAGAATTTGAAAAAATACTGGACAGAAGTGACCAAATTATCGCCGAGGAATTTGTGCTGAAACTCATGGGCAGCGTCAGATCAAAAGTTCGCTCCGATTAAAGGAACTGCGAATTATTTTCATCCAATTAAAAGAGACACAACAAAAAATAGTGACCAAAAAGTAACTGTAAAACGCTTAAAAATGACCAATAGTGAAAGATATCGTTGATTGCGACCCACTTCGGGAAATGTTATGTACTTACACCAGGGCTGTAATTTCATCACTCATCGAAGTTTGTTAATCTTTCCCACTCAGGGTGGCCAGACCTACCGATTTATCGGTAGTCCTATCGATTCTTGGGATGC